TTTTTAAAAATATAATACAATTTAAATTAGAATTATGATATAAAAGTAATTTATTATTATTTTTTATATAATTTTTACGTATCATTTTAAATGTATTTAATATTATAAATTTTAAACTAATGGTATCTTGATTTGAGTGGAAGGAGATCGATTCCTCTTAAATAAAATTTTGAGTTCGAATTTTATGAATGTGGAAACAGACGTTAAAATAAATTTAGTATAAAAAATATTATGAATTTTAAATAGATAAAAAATTAAACACATAAAATTATACAAAAATAATACTAAAAAATAATTTTTGAATCAGTCTATAATTCTTATTCTCCCTTTTCCATCTAACACGGAGAACCAAAAAAAAAAAGAAAATTGTATATAATAATTGAGTCAACGTTAATTCCATTGGATTTACCATGTCAAGGAGCAACTCCGCGTTACTTTCAATTAATTCTATATATTTCCTCCCCTGTTTAATTCCTGAGTTTACGTTAATGCCAGTCTTCTTCTCTGCACATTCTGCTGGGTTAATCATGGCAGTTTCTACTATGATCTACAACCGATTTCCGGCTACCTTAAACACCGATGTCACCCGGGTCTCTGTTATCTGTGCCCGTCAGGTTGGTGTCGATCATCACCTGCTTGACACTAAGAAGTTATCCAGTCAGGGCAAACGCCTCTCTGAATCACTGTCAAAACTTGTGCAGCTCACAATCGAGACCCCCTACAGGAGAAATCTTCGAAACCACAACTGGGTTTTGGTTAATGAAATTGTGGAGAAACATAACGCTCCGGCGAAGTCTCCCAAGGAGGTGATTGCAGATAAGTGGCGGGAACTTCACGGTTCCATGGACTGGGAAGATCTATTAGACCCGCTTCACCCCTTGCTCCGGCGAGAGATTGTCAAGTACGGCGAGTTTGCACAGGCGACGTACGACGCTTTTGATTTTGATTCCTTCTCGGAGTACTGCGGGAGCTGCCGGTACAACCGGAACAAGCTTTTCGAGAAGGTTGGACTCGACGGGAGTGGGTACATCGTGACCAAGTACATCTATGCCATGTCACACATTGAAATGCCACAGTGGCTGGAGAAGTCCCATTTGTTGGACACGTGGAGTAAAGATTCCAACTGGATGGGTTACGTGGCGGTCAGCGACGACGTGGAGACATGTAGGATTGGGAGGAGGGATATCGTGGTGGCATGGCGGGGCACGGTGTCGCCGGCGGAGTGGTACGAGGATTTTCAGAGGGAGATGGAGCCGATTGGGGCGGGGGACGCTAAAGTAGAACATGGGTTCTTGAGTATTTACTCTTCGAAAAGCAAATCCACCCGATACAACAAATCTAGCGCAGCCGAGCAAGTCATGAAAGAAGTGAAGAAACTGGTGGAATTCTATAGAAGACAAGGCGAGGAAGTAAGTCTGACGATCACCGGCCACAGTCTCGGCGGCGCGCTGGCTCTCCTCAATGCCTACGATGCTGCTGTCGCCATTCCAGACCTCCCTGTCACCGTGATTTCCTTTGGCGCGCCGAGAGTCGGCAACATTGCCTTCCGGGACGAGCTTCAGCGGCTCGGAGTCAAAACGTTGCGGGTCGTCGTCAAGCAGGACCTCGTTCCACGGATGCCGGGCGTCGTATTCAACGAGGCCCTCCAATTGTTCGAGGAAATTACAGGGACGTTAGAATGGATTTACACCCACGTCGGAGTTGAACTGAAACTTGATATTAATTCATCACCTTACCTCAAACGTAGATTCAACCCATTGGGATTTCATTGCCCTGAGACTTACCTTCACCTTGTCGACGGCTTCTCGAGCTCAAGCTTAACTTTCCGATCAGATGCCCGACGAGATGTTGCATTGGTGAACAAGTGCTGTGATATGTTGGTGGACGAGTTGAGAATTCCACCCAGTTGGTATCAGTTGGAGAACAAAGGTCTGGTACGCAATGAACATGGAAGATGGGTTAAACCCACAAGAGACCCAGAAGACATTCCTTCACCAATTGGAGAAGAAAATGCATTTCCTTCTCCAAATTCAGACCCAGAAAAGTTATCAAGAATACAACACTAAATTTGTATAAATAAATAAATAAATTTATTTATTTATTTTGGAAAAACGTAAAATCTTTGTTTATCCAGTAATTGTAATGTACATGAGCAGCAATTTGCTGTTACAGCCAATCAAATAAAAACTCAGTAAAACTCTACTGTACTCAATTCTTTACAACTGCCTCAATCCCCCATCTTTTTGCAATATCCATGGACAGAGGGGAAGCTTTAGGCTTAGCAAAGCCTAGAATTTTATTTGACAGTAAGTATCCATTAGATTGGCAAAACAGTTTTCATATCCTTGTGCATTGTCCTAATAACAGTAGTGACCTGCTCGATTTGATCTTCATTAGAACAAGCTGAGAGAAGTACTTTGGCTGTTCCTCCATCCGGATAACAACCTGCATCAATCATTTCCTCAAAAATTTCCAAGCACCTTCTGTATAGTTTCTTCCTGGAGTAGGCTCCAAGCCGTGAAGTCCAGGTCACCACATCAGGCTTCAAACTCTTGCCAGGAAGTGATTGGAAAATCTCTTCCATTCTCTCAAAGAATCCTGCTCGTCCATAGATGTTGATCAAGATGTTGTATGTGCTGATATCAGCCGTGTAAGGTCCCTTTTCCATTGCAATCAAAACTTCCTCCATCTTTTCAAATTGACCTAACCGGCCATATAGGTTCAGCATACTGTTGAGGACAAAGGTGTCTGGTTGAAGCCCAGAATTTTGCATCTGGTTTACAATATCTTCACATTTAGCTATATTTCCAGTCCTAGAGTAAGCAGACAAGAGTAGCATGTGAGATTTCATTGTTGGGGTAATTCCCAGTCGTTTCATCTCTTCAAACACAGCTTCAGCATCTGAAAGATAAATAGCAAGACATATTGTGATTAAACAATAATAGCTGATAGTAATAATGAAATATCATGCATTCAACAAGGTGAAATCCAAAATGGTATCTTGGCAAGAATGCAGAGTTGTGATTTTAAGACATAATCACTCTTTGGCGGAAGAATTTACCCTCATGTAGACCAGCTCTACCATATGCATCTACCATAATATTAAATGAAGCTCTGTCAGGTTCACATCCCATGTGCTGCATGAGTGAAAATATTTCTGCAGCTCCATAAGGATAACCTGCACGACTGTTTGCGACAAGAGTCAAATGCAACATCAAGAAAAAGAATTAACCATTAATGATTTCCAAGTTACCATTCCTGATATATTCAAAAAGAAATCATTACTCAAAGGTCAAATCAGCCAACTTTTTTGATTTTTACTGGTTAATTCTGATATCTGAACGTGTATACTACCTCTAATGTAATGGATTAGCAAAATGAAGCAGTCCTTAGCATAATATCCGAGATGCTTTGCCTTTGCAAATAATCAAGATACCATAGACTGTATAGGATATGAACCTGTAAGCTTCCATTAGGGCATTGTATGCATATACATCAGGCTCCAGCCCAGCTTCTTGAAGCTGCTCAAAAATTTCTTCTGCCTTCTCACAAAGACCTTCCCTAGCAAATGCATTCACCAGAGCAGTGTAGGTACAGATATTAGGTTTACACTTTTGACTTCTCATTTCATCAAATAACTTCAGTGACATATAGGATTTACTTGCCTGCATAGTAGAAAATGAATCTGTGAACAAATATGATTTACTACCCTGCACAGTAGAAAATGAATATATGCACCTTTTAATTTGTATGGAAAATAGAGTAAACTATCAAGAGCAACCATAGAAGTACTTGTCTAATTTCTATGAGAACAGAATATGAACAACAACTGAAGTCTGGAGGGGACAGAAGAAATCTGAATGAGAAATTTGACAACAGAATCATAGGTTGCATCAGATAAGTATGATCTTACAAAACATAACCGATATCAAGAAAGTCTGAAAGCACATTGATTGATGCAGTCAAATATAACTTACATTACCTTCCCATATAAGTTAATCATTAATGTGTAAGTTTCTGTAGAAGGTTGGCAGCAATCCTTCTTCATCCTCTGAAAGACCTCTATTGCTTTTTGAGGATTACCTCCCTTCATTAACCCGTCAATATAAGCAGTGTAAACAACTGCACCTGAAGGGAGGATCTTCCAAGTAAATTTATGTTCTACTCAGTAAATATGAAAGCATATCAATTCTAAACTGAGACTACTAAATACCAAAGACCTGATAAAATTCCTACCAAAATCAGGTTAGCAAACAATGTCAAGCCACATATGCTGATGATAAGATGTAAACAGTTTGGCAAGATAGAGGTCCAATGTCATCTGAAATTATGGTATGCATATGCTCCTAGGTAAGTGTTTTGTGCAAGTAAAACTGAAATACCATGATATTAAGCTCACAGGAAAGAGAAAAATATCATAATCATTGATATAATTTTCAGTTCATTATAGCATTTCTGTGAACATCATTGAAACTACAAGCATACTTGGAGGAAGTCCATATTTTCGCATTTCAGCAAAGACAGCTTCAGCTTTGGGTAGCAGTCCACAGGTGCAGTAGGCCTTCAAAAGAAGGGCATAAGTATCTTCAGTAGGTATGCATCGAGCTTCAAGGAGTTTCTGGTATGTGGATTCTGCCTTCTTGTAAAGAGATTTCTGCCCATAAGCATCTATCAACAAATTGAAGCCGATGACATCTGGCTGAAAGGAGCTTCTGTACAATATCCATTCACCAATCTGGAGAATCTCATAGCATTACACTCGAGAAAACTATACAAAATCAATTCACAAAACTAAATGCATTTAAAATGGATAAAAAAGAAACAATAAATAGACCAATTCAGTTTAGTGCAGGCAAATATGAAATAAAACAAAGATTATAACCTTCTACACAGCTCTTAATTTCAGCCAATATGTCCCATTTTAAAAATCATTTTGTATAACTAAAAAGCATTCAAAAGCTCCCCCATGGTGCAACCTCCAACGACAGAAACTAAAAACCAAGGGAAATAAAGGGGAAATGAGTTGACTTTCTTACCAGCATGATTGCATCCCATTTTTTGTTTAAGCGAAGCTGAACTGCTACATTTATAAGATCATCCCATGTAGCATGAGTGGAAGGTAAAGTATCAAAAGAACCCCATATTCTATTGGGATCCACCTCCTTCTGTAAAAAATTCAGTATCTGCTGAGCAATGGGGCTCAACACTGGGAATATTCCATCCACAAACCCAGACCCATATTTCCATCCTTGTCCTCTTAGTGAACCACCTAGAGAAAGATGATGATTTAAATATTTGAAAACATTCTGCAACTAAAGATACCAACATATATATGCTATAAACTCATTACATCGTTTTCTAGATAGTTTTTTGTGATTAAAGGTCCTCAATTTGCCCTGCTTGTCGATGTAAACACCGTCTCGTTTCCACTTCTCAATAGCCACACCCCTAGAGTCCCTTGCTTTGCATCTGAAACCAGTCTTACAACTTCTTGGTTCTACAAAACTGTGGTTCAGTATGTTCCCCGTTACCAACCTACAGAAATCTATCAATTAATAACATAGCATGGATGAATTTGATAATATATTCCTGTAAGAATATCAAATAAAAAGGACAACAATCACAAAATGAAGTTTCCTCCCCTAATTTAAGAATCAAATACTACACTAAATGTAGTAGAAATATGCAGTGTAAACTCATTTCCCAAAACGCTATTACAAGCAAAACAAGGCATAAAAACCAACAATCAAGAACAAAACTTGACCCCAGAAACAAAACAAGGAATAAAATTTTGACTTCGGGGAGATGGGGGCATGAAACCCCATTTCAAATTACAGAGCAAATGCCACAAACGAACCACAGCAAAGGAGAATCAGAGGAAGAATCATGCATTAAAAATGAAAGAACATGTCACGGCATGGGAGGTTAAGAGATAAAAAGCAGGAGGACAAAGTAAAATGCAGCAGAGGAATAACATCCAAGAAGAATTGAACTTGCATGAATAGGCAGAGCGAGTCCGGAGAGTTGAAGGAGGTTTGAGTGTAGAGTAGGCGGTGTATGGTTATGGAGCATAAGCACCACTTCAAGAGATAATATTGCATTCGGCGCGGACAATGCAGACAAAGATTCTTAAATATCCCATATACAAATCGCAGGAGCCACGTCATACAGCTGTATGATAATTTTTCTTAAAAAACAGTGTTCCTACATTCGAATATGGTTGTAGAACGTTAATTATTAAATAAAAATTTTATTTATTTAATAATTAATATTTTACTACACTTGGTCTCACGGCTCAATGATTATAGGTCAGTTTGTAAAGTGCATCTCTCCAATTTAAGGGTTAGAGTTCCATTCCCCCTCTCCCGTATTTGTAACCCTGTTTAAAAAAAATTAATGTTTTATTATTTAAACTGTGGAACATCATTCTTCACCCTGGATGCTACATTTCATTAGTTCAAAATTGCTACTAGTAAAAAAAATAAAAAATAAAAAAATAAAATAAAGAAGAAGAAGAAGAAGAAAAGTGGGTGTGGTGGCACTGATGACAATTAAAAATATTGAACATCAAATGATAGTAAATATTAATGAGAAATGAGGAGTGAATCTGCAAATATTTTCCATACATAAAATTAAATATGGAAATATTGAATGCTGTTGAAATGGTTGGACTAAGTGACTGTAAGCGCTACTTGTTAGTCAGTGCTGTGACTTCCCAGTGCTGTGAAAAGAATTGCGAGCTTCTAATTAAAGAGTCGGCTTCAACTATAACTTACAACCTTTCTACTACAATTAATTGCAGGGAAGCACTCCATTCTGCATCATTTGGAAATTAATCTTCAAGAGCAGTACAGATTACTTGGAGGAGAATTTTATCTTTTACTTCAGAGCATCTAACAATATGTAGTCTCTTGAGTTGAAGATTTTGCTGCAAACTTGGAAATAAGTTGGTCATACATTCGGTTTGATTAGTGCACTAAACAACACCAAGATCTCTAAACCGCAACAACAATCTGCTACCTTGAATTTGACAATGATTTTCCCCACTCTCAGCTTTAGATATGAAGTGGAAGTTTTTGAGACTCCGTGCTGCAATTTCTATCAACCCCAGACAGCCATAAAATTCATAGTGGCAAACCTGCAGAGTCTTGAGACGTGGATTAGAAGAAGTAGAAATATTTATTCTTAGACCATGGCAATTTAACAGAGATAGTTCCTCTAAAGTGGAAGTTTTCGGAACAATTTTCGTGGAATTAAGAAAGTATGCATGGTTCGGTAACAATTTAGAACTTGTGTAATTGTTTGCCAGGAATTTAACTTTACACTTAACATATAAGATAATTAAAAATCAGTTTGTTATGAATTCGATTCCAACCAACATTTCTAGTAAGGTTAGTAGCAATCTTTCCACTTGAACCAACTTTGATGGGTTATGTCAAGTATAAAATAATGTTTTAAGTTAAAAGAAAAACAAATTAAACTAACAAAAGCAACCTATAGAAGAAATTATCTAATTTCCATGAGATAGACAAAAAGAATATGAAAAACAAAGAAAGTTTGAATTATGGCATTCATATGCTCCAAGCCTGAAATACTATGATGATATATGCTCATATGAATGAACAGAATGTCATAATCATTGATTTAATTTTCAGTTCCTTCTCAGTTATAGCATTTCCTTGAACACAATGAATGGATAAAAGGTGGCTGAAATTATCGACATACTTGGGGGAAGTCCATACATCAAATTAAATATGGAAATAAGAAAAACAAGATCAAAAGTAGAACCACCAGAATGCATTACTGGGCACTTTGTATGTGATTAAGTTGAAAGCTGTTGAAGCATTTGGTTTGGACATCTTATTTACTGATTTCTGAGTCAGCTTCCGCTATAAACTCACTGAAACTACATTTCCTTCGAATCTCAATGCCCTGTTTAACCGCAACAACTTCTGGTACAGTGAAGCAACACATTCTACAACTTCCTCTGCACTATTGGGAAGAATACTTTCATAATTATTATTCCAGGAAAAAAACGTATTATTTCGACGAGAACTTCATCCTTTATTCCAACAATAGTACTTAACAAGTTCTGCAACATGGAGCACCACCATCCACTGTGAGTTTGATCACGCTCAAACGTCCAATTACCATTTTGGTAGGTATGAAGGAAAAACATTGGGGCCTCATCTCCTGTATAATGCAACTCCCTTAAATTTGGACTACAGACCTCCACAACCTTCAATTCAAAGCATCTAGTAGTGTGCAGTCTCTTGAGTTGAAGGCTTGGTATCTTAATCATTTGCTGCAACTTTTCACATCCAATGATCCAAAGATTTTCGAGTTGTGGAAACTTGGAAAGAAGTTCATCAAAGGCATTGTTTGTGATCGTTGCACTCAACAACACCAACGTCTTTAAACCGCAACAACAATCTGCTACCTTGATCTTATAGTATTTAGGTGCTTCAGCAATGAAGATGAAGTTTTTCAGACTCCATGCTGCAATTTCGATCATCTCAAGGGAGCTATAAACAAAATCGGGGCAAACCTGCAGAGTCTTGAGACGTGGACTTGCAGAAATATTTATTCTTCTTAAGCCATGGCAATTAAAAAGATATAGTTCCTCAAGAAGTGGAAGTTGCAAAAGAAGAGAATGGAACTCTTGGTCTGTAATCTTTTTGAGACTGCAAATGTAAGAATTTCAAGTTATGGCAACCAGCAATGTTGATAAAATCCGACCATGGTCGTCCTGGATGAACTCTAATGGTGAAACTTTGGATACTTTTGTGATGCAACAAAGAAGTAATCAGCAGTTTCATCAATAGCAATATCCATGTCAATTTCAACAGTGCGAAGCCGAAGAAGATCAGAAATATGGACATAACTGAAACCATGACTGTCTGTGAGATCTAAATCTTCAAGCAAAGGACAATCACCATGCTTCAAAATTATCTGACCCTTTATGTGGCACTCTCTTAAAACCAGTTTTTTAAGAGAGCTGAATACAGATAAGGCCTGGTCCAGAAAACATGAATTTAAGTCCAAATGGGTCAATGTTTTAGAAGAAAATACTTATTGCGGCAGAGCATATGATTTGTACAACAAAATCTCTAACTCTTTCACCTTATTTTCTAGAGCTAATTATATCCAACTATCGAGATGAGTAATTAGTGAAGAAATTTCTGCATCTCTTATGAAAACAAGAAATGACTGCAATGATAACTTGTTCCGGCTAAAGTGGCGCAGAGAATTATAAACAACTTCGTTGAAATTTCTACCATAGTTTCGTTGGTCAAAATCCAGGACAGGGTAACTTTTGCTGATGGAGTACCATGTTTTGGACAGATAAGTAGTTTAGAGGATGTCTTCTGCGGGAAGGTGAGACATTATCTCATGAACAATGCATTCCGGTATCTCCAAGATACGATCCACGCCAGTCTTAGACTCTTACTTGCTCGCTTCAAATCGGCGGCTAGCATCAAGTTTTGTAGAAGGGTTTTAGTATTTATAGGGTTCGAGAAACACTCTTCCTCTTGAAATTAGGGTTGAGAATTGCGTATTCTTTGGCTAAAGGTAACAATTTTATTTTTTTTTTGAACATCTGGGAATTTTGGAGAATGAGCGAATTTTTTTAAGTTGTTGGTGGGGAGTTGAACTTTCAATCATGGTTTTAAAACCCGGCCCGGCCCGGTCAGTTGAACCAGTTGAACCGGACCCGGGCTTAAAAACGGGCCGGTTTCATGCATTGGCCCGTTTTGCAAGTTGGCCCGCGTTGGCCCGCGTTAACCTGCCAGACCCGCTCCAAACTCCTAGCCCGTCCCACCCGCCGGGCCATCCCTCTGCCTCATCCTTGCTCCATCTCCGTGAGTTCATCGGCATCTCACCACAGCAGTCACCACCTCATCACCTCCGGCAAAGCGGCCTGATCTCCCTGCTCCACTTCCGTCAAGATCTCACCACCAGTCACAGCCTCATCTAGTCATCTCCTCTGCTGAACAGAAGCAACAAAGCTGCCCAACCGACTCTTGACGACCACATGAATCAAATGGCGGATCTCGTTCATAAGCTCTCTTCGGAGCTCCGTTGGGGCCTCCGACCAGCCTACGACAATTGCATGGGATTCTTCCATGCAATCGATTGGAGTAGATAAGGATCAGGAAGCGAGCTTGAATGGAGAAAAATGGTAGAAAAAGAAAGAAGATAAGGCGAAGAAGGTGATGGTTTCAAAAAATAATAATAATAAAAGATCTGATGAAAAAACCATAAGAAATTTGATGAAAAAACCATAAGAAATTATGGAGAAACAAAGAAAACTCTCTGCAAATTGTAAAACCCAGAACAGAAGAAAGCAGCGAGAAACAGAAGGAACCATCGATGAGCTCCAGATCTCAGCCACCTCCGTCGGCGGCAACACAACTCAGCGTCCAGCCGATCGTCCTCATCACTCATCTCCTCTACCGAGCAACACAGTAAAACAGAACAAAATCAACAGATCATCCTCATCTGCTTCATCTCCTCCGTCAATCACGGCATCTTCATTTGCTTCATCTCCTCCGCCGAGCACCTCCTCCTCATCTCCTCCGTCGATCATGGCGTTCTCATCTGCCTCATCTCCTCCACCGCTCCTCATCTTTTCCTGCCTCCACTGAGCAGAAGCAGCAGCAGAAATCAGAATCTGCAACAGCTCATCGAACATATCGTCAAAAACTGAAAAAAGTGTGATTTTAGGTTGACCGGTTGGACCGGTCGGGTGAACCGGTTCAACCGGTTGAACCAGACCCGGTGGCCAAAACGGGTCAGCCACCGGGTCGGGTACAAAAACATTGCTTTCAATTAATTAAATCCAAGTATTAAGGTTTGGGACGATCCAAAGATCCAATTCGGCTAAATATAACAATTTAGTCCTTAATATATATGGAAAGTGTATATCTTTCCGGTTAAATACCTAGTTTGGTCCCTCAATTTTTGTCTCTCTTTGTCCTTAGATGCCTCTTCATCCTGCAACCCACTCAGCACTAATCATCCCTCATTGCTCTGGTCATCTTTTACCACTTTGATCACCATCTCCATACATCACTGTGATCACCATCTTTAGCATATATAAATATGCTTAACCCAAAAACCAAAAAGAAATCTAATTTCCATCTAAGCCAACTTCTTACCTTTCTCTCCACTTGCTCCCTTTTCGTTTCTCCTCTTCCTTGATTTTCGATCTCCACCTTTCTCCCTTTCTCCTTTCTTCTCCGTTAGTGGTTTGTAGGCTTGATCGATTTGGGATTAAGGTTTGCAAGCTCGATCGATTTGGGATTAGGGTGTGTAGGCTCGATTGATTTGGGATTAGGGTTTGGAGGCTCTCCTTCTCTCCACATCAATTTGCATTCCAACAAGAGATCGATGAAAAGCAATCATCAAGTTGGCAAGATATCAATTAAAGTCTAATAAGAACCTAGCATGAGGTGGGTGTATGAAAGAACTCAGATTTGGGTTCCTCGGCCTCATTACCGGTGAACAATAGCTTAAGAATTAGACCCAGAATTCTGTTTGTCTACTTCCTTTTATATATTTGCTTTCTTTCTTTCTTTGGTTTGAAAGAAAGATGTTGTAGATCTTTCAAATTTCTATGATCTTTTTTATTTCAAAATTTTAAATTTAATGATTTTGATGTGTATTTGGGTTATGGTTATTTGTGTGTGTTTATTTTTTGGTATTTGATTTGGGTTTTAATGGGGTTTTGTGAGTTGATTGTGTGTGTATTCTGTTTGGATTCTTTTGTGCAGGAATTCGTATCAAAGGAATTTATATTTGATTTGGGTTTTAATGGGATTTTGTGAGTTGGTTGTGTGTATTCTATTTGAATTCTCTCATGCAAGAATTTGTAGCGAAAGGAGTTCTTCTGTGACTGGTTAAGAAGAAAATTTGGAGAAGATGAACAATAGGAGATGATAAGCAGAAAATCAAATTTGGAAAGGAAGGTCGGTGAATAGGAATTTGGATCAAAGGAAGTAGGCTGAAGCTGGAGAAGATGAATGGTAGCAAGTGAAAAGAGAAAATATGATTTAATAGAGTATAGAAAATATAAAAAATATAGAAATATTTTAGGAGGGCCCCACTTAAAGGAAAGGGATGAAGTAACGGAAATATGACATGAACAACAAAAATGACATAGTGGGTAAGTTATTTTTCACGTTATTAAAGATTTAAAATAAAAATTGATTGCACCCAGCCCTTGAGGCCCACCGGCATTAGCCAGTCTATGGGTGCGTTTCCTCCTCCCCTAGGCGGTTTCGAATCGCCCCTTGCCCCCAAATGTTCAAAAATAAAAATAAAAATTGATTTTGTGGTGCAATTTAACATGCCATCAGGCATTTCCGTCAACGGAAGCATGAAATTGGTCCCAAAAATTGAAATTTAGGGATAATTTTAGTATTTTTTGAAGTTTGAGGGTAGATTTGGTTAAAAAATAAAAGTTGAGGGACAAAACTGGATATTTAACTTATCTTTTTTTATCCCCAAATAAATTTGGATTAAGAACTTTAAATGATAATGTTTTATTATGTACCAAAAAAAATATGATAATGTTTTATTTAATTAAAATTTAATTTAAAATTTACATATCTGCTATATTTTTAATGAAATTAATATATATTATTATATATTATAAAATTTTAGATGATAAAAATAATTATTTTTAATAAATATAATAGAAAGTACATAACTTATAGATAATTATTTTTTTATTTAAAAAATCATGATAAATTTTAATTATTGAAAGTAAACAGATAAATGATTAAAATATGTGTAAATGGATTTTTATTATATACAACCACAGCCTCTGAAACAAACCTTGATATACTTGCAGCCTAAGGCTCATCTACACCTTCAATCTCTGTCAGAACAACAATTGCCGTAGCCTCAATGGCTAAATTCACCCACAAAAAGAAGATAAACAAGCTAATCCATTTGATGTTCCCAAGATTCTAGTAGCTGATGGGCTTCTATTGAGCAATTCAAAGAAGATGAAAGATACTGGCCACCTACCCTTAAGTGATTTCCTCGGTGATCCATGCTCACTGCGGTCATGGAAGAAAATATCATAGAATATTGAAAGTAAGGCGAGTCCATAGATTCTCATAGACAAGATCTTGAGCAACAAGAAAGTTACCGACGGTGCTACAGATTATGGAAAGATATTGGTGATCCATTCACAATTTAAGGTCAAGAAAGTACTTAAAACCAAAAAGGTTGTGATGTTTGCTACTATATGGGTAAAGATTGCCCTCCAAAATGTTCTTTAAGAGAAAAACAAGTCTTCTAAGGAAAAGTAGACATTTTTCAACAACTTGTTTAGAATTGTAATGGACTTTGAGAAGAGGGTCAGAGGGTCCCTACTGGGCCACAAACCTTCTCAAGAAGAAAATTGAAGCTGTTTTGGGCAATGAGAATCTACCAAAAGATGTGCTAATGGACATTTTGAAAGACTTAGAGGGAATAGGCCCGAAAGAGGTGAGGGATTGATTTTAGGGAGGCTAAAGAGAGATTTTAAGGAAGTTTGAAATTTAAAATCTACCATGGGATCTATGATAATCTCGCTTATATACCATTGAGATAGCATCTAGTTGGCAAGCACAAGTCCGTACGTAAAGGTGCCACACAGGACACGTTAGACGTGACCTACTTGTTTAAAGATAATGATCTCTCTATAAAGGCTAACATAGATGTATCTCTCATCTAAGTGGGTATCTGTCATGACTTATAGCGAGCCCCACATGTATCTTATTCCTATTGTCTTTAGTCACCAAGTCCCAATTTTAGCTAAGTTTAAGTCCTTCAAACATCACCTAAATTTCATTCTAGACAACTTAGCTATTCAAGTCATCATACGTGTTTCTTTCTAAGATTGCGAGAGTGAGATATAACTCAAGTTAATCAATTTCTTTTTCAAGAGCTTTCTCAATCGTACTTGAAGTGGTATTGAGTCCTTTTTAGCTATGACCCAAGTCTACACGAATCACTAAGATTGTAACATGTGTAGGATGTAATATATAATGATATTATTTTTTTTATTTCTTCCTTTGGGGTTTTTTTTGTCAAAACCTTGTTGGTGTATTGCTAGGTAAGGTTCATAAAATGAATAATCAAAATTCGACTGTTTCCATTTACATAAATAGAAAAGAAAAAAATAAGATGTTTTCTATTAAAAATATTAGGACATTTAATGAAAACTATTCAATACATAGAGTATATTATGAGTCTTATCTTTATTAAATTTATTATATAATTATTATTAAATATCTTAATATTAAGATATCCTCCTTTTTTCGAGAAGTCCTCGATGGCCACCTACTTTGTTGTAAGAGTATTCTTATGTCAGTTGAGCTATGGGGTTCAAGTCCAAAAAAGAAAAAGAAAAAGAAAAAGAAAGATATCCTCCTTTTTAATTCTTTTTATTTTGTGTTAAAAAACAACATAACTACTTAACAGTACGTTCTTTTTCCTACTTCTCTAGAAAAACGTCGATCTTATTTGGGCTAGAAGCAGATTAAGCTAGCCCGATATGTATAACCTACTAGTCCAGCCTAGCCCAAGGTCATTTTTACCTATTTATAAACCCCAACAATATTGCCCTTCTTCCTTCATTTGCAGCACAAATTTCATTTCGTTCCTTTATTTCATTTCAAACACATCATGAGTCTTCAAGAGCTAGCACTCCGTCATGCCACCAAGAACCTTCATCGCACCACGAATCTCATCCCTATCAAGAATCTTCTTCGGCTCATTCACTAAAATTAACCCCAAGAAAAAAGGCCTTGCCTTTCATCTCTTCACAGCCTCTAAAACAAACCATGATATACCCACAACCTAAAGCTCCTATGCACCTTCAATGTTTGTTAGAACAACAATCACCATAGTCTCAATGGCTGAATTCACCCACAAAAGAAATGATAAGCGAAGCCAATCCGTTGGATCTTCCTAAGATTTTGGCGATCGATGAGCTTTTATTGAGCAATTTAGAGAAGATGAAATATATTGGCCGCCTGGCCTTAAGTGATTTCTTTGGCTATCTATGCTCATTACGGTCACGAAAGAAAATATCATAAAATACTAAAGGCAAAGCGAGTCCACAAATTCTCGCAGACAAGACCTTGAGCAACAAGAAAGTTACCAGCTATGCTGTGGATTATGGAAAGACACTGGTGGTCCATTCACAATTTGAGGTTGGGAAAGTACCTAAAAACCAAAAAGGCTGTGCTATTTACTACTATATGGGTAAAGTTTGCCATCCGAAATGTTCTCTAAGAGAGAATACAAGTCTTCTAAGGAAGTAAACATTTTTCAACAACCTGTTTAGAATTGTGATGGACTTTGAGAAGAGGGATTAAGAGGGTCTTTACTATGCCACAAACCTTCTCAAGAAGAAAATTGAAGCTGCTTTGAGCAATGAGAATCTAGTAAAAGAGGTGCTAATGGAAATTTTGAAAGATTTAGAGAGAATAGGCCCAAAAAAGGCTAGGGATTGATTTTAAGGAGGCTAAAGAGATAATTTTGTTGCATTTGATTTTCCTTTTTTTCATTTTAATAAAAGCAAAGTTTGATTAGTAAAAATTTAGAAAATTTAGAAAAACGTAGTTTTAAGAAAGAACTGGGAAATTTATTCATTGAAAACAAAATGGGTCATACAATCAAATGTAGCAAAATCTCTCTTTAGCCTCCCTTAAATCAATCCCTAGCCTTATTTGGGCATGTTACCTCTAAATCTTTCAAAATGTCCAATAGCACATCTTTACCTAGATTCTCATTGCTCAAAGCAGCTTGAATTTTCTTCTTGAGAAGGTTTGTGGCCCAATAAGGACCCTCTAAACCCCTCTTTTCAAAGTCCATTGCAATTCTAAATAGGTTGTTGCAAAATGTCTACTTTTTGTATATGCTTTCTCAAAGAACATTTCGGAGGGCAACCTTTACCCATACAGTAGCAAACAACACAACCTTTTTGGTTTTCACGTACTTCCTCGACCTCAAATTACGAATGGATCGCTGGTATCTTTCCATAATCCGTAGCATTGTCGATAACTTTCTTGTTGCTCAAGATCTTGTCTACTAGAATTTGTGGACTCGCTTTGCTTTCAATATTCTGTGATATTTTCTTCCATGACCGCAATGAGCACAAATAGCCAAATAAATCACTTAAGGGCAGGCAACTAGTATCTTTCATCTTTTTTGAATTGCTTAATAGAAGCTCATTGGCAACTAAAATCTTGGGAAAATCCAATGGATTAGCTTTGCTTATCTTCTCATTATGGGTGAATTCAGCCATTGAGACTGCGGCAGTTGTTGTTCTAACAAAGATTGAAGGTGCAGAGGAGCTTCAGGTTATGGGTATATCATGGTTTGTCTCAAAGGCTATGGAAAGATGGGAGGTAAGGCCCTTTTTCTTGGGGTTAATTTTAGTAAATGGGCGGGAAGAGATTCTTAATAGGGATGGGATTCGTGGTAGGGCTACAAAGGTTTTTGGTGGCACAGCAAAGATGCCGATTCTTGAAGACACATGATGGCAAAACTGATGTGTTTCAAATGAAACAAAGGAATGAAATGAAATGAAATTTGCACTGCGTATGAAGGAAGAAAGGCAGTATTGGAAGGTTTTATAAATAGGTGAAAAGGACCTTGGGTTGGGCTGGACTAGTAGGTTATACATATCAAGCTAGCTTAATCTGCTTCTAGTCCAAATAAGATCAACATTTTTCCAGAGAAGTAGGAAAGAGTACGTACTAGTAACTAGTTATTTTGTTTTTGAACATAAACTGAAAAGAATTATAGTAGGGAAAAGGGAGGATTTTCTCTCTCTCTCTCTTTTTTTTTTTTAACACGAAGGTAGGACTTGAACCCCATACCTCGACTTATATGAGAATATCCTTACAATGACCTAGGTGGCCACTAAGCCATTGAGGACTTCTCAAAAAAGAGAGGATATCTTAATATTAAAAATATTAAGATATTTAATAATAATTATATAATAAATTTAATAAAGATAGGACTCATAATATACTCTATATATTGAATAGTTTTCATGTCCTAATATTTTTAATAGCAAGACATCTTATTTTTTCTTTTCTATTCATGTAAATGGAAACAATAGAATTTTGATTATTCATTTTATGAACCTTACCTAACTATACAGACCAACAAGGAATTGACAAAAAAAAAAAAAACCCAAAGGGAAGGAATAAAAAAAAATGGTATCATTAAATATTACAACCTACGCATGTCACAATCTTAGTGATTCATGTAAACTTGGGTCATAGCTAAAAAAGACTCAATATCACTTCAAGTACGACTGAGAAAGCTCTTGAAAAATAAATCGATTGACTTGAGTTATATTGTAACTCTCATGATCTTAGAAAGAAGCACGTATGATGACCTGAATAGTTAAGTTGTCTAGAATGGAATTTAGGTAATGTTTGAGAAACATAAACTTAGCTAAAATTGGGACTTGGTGACACAATAGGAATAAGATACATATGGGGCTCGTTATAAGTCAGTACAGATACCTACTTAGATGATAGATACATCTGTGTCAGCCCTTATAGAGAGATCATTATCCTTACACAAGTAGGTCATGTCTAACGTGTCTTGTGTGGCACCTTTACATACGGACTTGTGCTTGCCAACTAGATGCTATCTTAATGGTATATAAGCAAGATTACCATAGATCCATGGTAGATTTTAAATTTCAAACTTCCCTTCCTTTCTTCCTCTCTTTTACATAAAACCTATCTTACGAAAATCTAATCTAACTTGAGTATCAGAAGATGTATACCAAAAAAACCTCCAACACCCACCTTAACAAGCTTATTCTTTTGTGTTTGTACAGGTACAACTTACCCATCTTTCAAGAGCTTTCCTATGAAGCTCAAAACCCAAGTAGGCTTTTTACCTTTTAGGTACAAGAGGGTTAGTTGCTTAATAATATAAAACTTTAAATCTTTGACCTTAATCTCAAATTAAGATTTTTAAATTAGTAAGTATTAATTCAATGTAGCTCGTGTTGGTAAAATTTTTACTTAAATTAAAAAAGATGAGGGGTGCAACATGAGGTCACTCATTCTAGTATTACTCTTGTCCAAACACGTTTAATTGTGGAATTTAAGATTTTTTATTATCTTAAAAATATAAAATATTAATTAAAATTAATAAAAAAATTATAAATTTATACTTTTGAAGCTAAGATGCTTTGCAAATTATTGAAAAATGAAGCCTAATTAGACTTAGACTGGAAAAGCAAAATTAACTCACCTATTAAGTCTATATTCAACCAGTCATGAGATAAACAATAAAAAAATTAATGAAGGGGGCTGAGTTATTACTATCAAACCATAACCTATCCTGTTTCGTCCAACACTAATACATATACAAAGGGGAAATTTGTTATTAATATATTAGTGCATGCACAATAGCATTTAGAAAACGCAGTTAACATGAATAATTAATTTAAACCCAAATGCACTGAAACAGAAAAGCAAATAAGTAATGAGGTGCTAATAAGAGATATACCCGTTTGCTTTCTTTGCCCCGATTGCTGCCCTATTGCTAGCTATCCTCCTCCGATTGCTCTTGCTTTCTTTTTCCGATTCCTCCGATTTCAGCTCCTGCTCATCTCATTCCCCTTGCATTTACTCCCCGGATGATGAGAACCCCAAAGAGAACAATGAGACTCACAGCACAACAAGGGATTTCTGAACTCCAAGAAAGCTAAATCAGGTTTATAATAGGACTTGTTTATGTCGCAACAAGAACCAAAGGTAAAAACCTTGACCCGTTGTCTATGATGCAACAAGAACCAGAGGTATAAAGTTAGTTGACGCCACACTCTTGAACGATTAAGAACAAGAATGATAAGTCAGGTTAGAACGCCACAAGAATAATCTTGATAAGTTCTGTAAAGTTCTGAAACGAACCAAAGAGAAAAGTCTCTCAAAAATTCAAATTCAATAGCCTCACTTAATTAGGGTTACAAGCCCCTTTTAAATAGGAGAAAGTAATTCTAATCAAAATAGGAAACTAACACCCTAATCCTTAATCATAATAACCACGAATTGGGCCTTAAATAAATGAATGTTCAGCCCAAAATAATATAAAAAACGTGAAAATCACTAAAGGTAGCCTAAAGTAACATGAAATATCAGCTTGTTACAAATTGCGACAGAATTGCGAGATTGACGCAAACTGTGTAATTCAACATAAATGACCTCAATTAAACTTCTCTTGAACTTGAATGATGTTTATCATGCCTTGATAATCATCCAAGCTTCGATTTGCTTGTTGTATGTTGTTTTCAACCCAGATCCGCTCAATAAGGCCATTTAAAGCTTCATGCATCTTCTTAGCTCTAGCTCGCGTGATTGGACCTCCTTGGTTGGACCTCCTTGGGTGTGTAATGGATCACATGACGTGGTAGATATGCTGTCGTCTTGATTCCCATCACCGGAGCTCCAATTCCGCTCTTCCTTCACCGGCCTAGCTATAATTAATTCCTCTTCTAGGCAGCTCTCCCACTCCGTCAAGCTCCCTCTCGATCACGAGCACATCCCCTATTCTTCTTTCTATTATTTCCTCTTGGACTGCAGATTTTCCTCTTTATCCGATCAGACCCCTGTTCTCCCTTCCCGGCTCACCCAGATTTCTTCAATTTCAGCCTATCTTTCTCGTCCGCAACCGCCTCCCCCAGAAGGCTAGGGTTTTCCTCTCGCGTTCACGACATTCTCCTCTCCTCCTATTAGTACTACCTGTTACGGCGTTCTGATCTCTCTTTTTCTTCTTCTCGTGGTAAGAGTAGGATCCAATGACCATTCCGCTTTTATGTAAGAGTTATTAGTTTTGCAAATCTTTTTGGGATGATCAGCACCCAAAAAAAAAAAAAGAAAAATTAATACTACCATTCAACGTTTCATTTCCCGCCTAAAGTGTGCATTATCTACAAAAGGCTTATTATAAAAAAATTCACTTTGTTTAGGATAGTTTTAAGTTTTGAAATATGGTTTTTATTTTTTATTTTTAGATATTTAGTTATTGTTATTAGGTTAAACCCCCTAATTTAGTCCCTAATTATTATATATACCCTCTATTTGATCTTTATACCAAAAAATCTATAATTTAGTTCTTATTATTTCAAATTTAACCTCAAATTGATCTTTTTATATAAAAACAGTTAATATGTCTCATTATTAACATAACATGTGATTGTTAAGTAAAGGTTTTCTATTATTAAATAATGGACATGTTAACTTTTTTTAATGAAAGAATCGACTTGAGGTCAAATTTAAAAACAGTTGAGGTCAAATTTAAAAACAGTTGAGGCCAAATTAAAGATTTTATTAGTTTGAGAACCAAATTAAAGGTTGTACAATTATAGAGACCAAATTAGGAATTTAACCCTATTATTATATTTAAAAATAAAAATTTATTATAGAAATTAAAATTTATCAAATTTAATATGAATATAACATTAGTTACTAGTTATATATAACATAAAAGAACCATGATTCATGTACACCCTGGTTCAACACTTGAGAGTGTACACATAACCAAATAATTTTAAAAGTAAAATTACAAATTTATCCTTTTTTTTTTCTTCCGAATTCTCAAGAGAACCCAAACCTCTTTTTTTTTTTTCTCTCTCTCTCTCGATCTGGGTTCTCCAAGAACCCACCTCTTCTTCTCTCTCAATTCTTCTCCTTTCTGTAGATCTAGACCATCTCCTTACATCTCATCATCATCATTACAACCTCCACCTCCATCACCATCCTCAATCACCACCAAAATAGAAGGAGAGGGGCAAAACCATAGATCCCTCTGTTTTCCATCACCATCGTCACCATCGTTACCATCACCACCATCATCATCGTCATCGCCAAGCAGCCCAAAAAAAAAAAAAAAGATAAATAAAAGGGTGAAGCAAATCTGGTATCGGGGAAGGAGAACAATTTGGCAGAGGAAGATGGAGAAACAAGAAGAAAAAGGGGTACTGAGAGGAAGATGACTTTTAAGATTAAATTTGTAATTTTATTGTTAAAATTATTTGGTTATGTAGGATGTGCACCCCCAGGTGTTGAACCAAAGGGTGCACAAAGCATTTTCCAATATAAAAACCAAAAGGAAAATGATTAGTATGCGCTTTGGTTCAACACACTTAACAACACCTTCTGGTTCAATTATTAAAATTTGCCTTTGAAAATTTTCCCACCTTAAATTTAAATTTGAAAATATTAATTTCTTAGTGAATAAACCAAAGTATGTTGTACAGTGTGTTGAACCGAATGATGTACCAACCATTGTCCAAGCCAAAAACAGAACTTAAGTTGCATATTCAATTTACATTTTTAAGCCAAAAGAGAAAATATTACTAAGATTAGAGGTACAAAGGTTACTCCAAGTTTTGTTTCATGATAAAACCTTTTACAATTTACAAAAGGAGTTGTTAACAAACCTCTTACAATTTACAAAGCAACACAACTCCCTCTTCCCACAAACATAGCACAGCGGAGTTCCCCAAAAACATTCCAAAATCTTTCTAGTTCTCAGTCTCACTAATTAGACGCCCTTGAGATTAACTCCATTGAAGCCAATTTTTTTAATAAAAAGATAAAACTAGTTAAAGGTTTAGAAGTAGAGCCCCAATTAGTTCAGCTTATCATGAGAATATACAGGAGTCTGTTATGCCACATGATGGCGATGATGTAGCACAGCTAGAGTGCTCTACAAACACAAGGAGGCACAGAACCTGCATCACCTAAGATTAAAGTATGACACTGGAGTTTATAAAAACGGTAATAATAATGAAAGGAAATGTAACAACTTAAGCATTCATACAAGAAAATGACAAAATTTTCAGCCTGAAAACAATGATTCGAATGGAAGTCTAAAAGCAGAGGTCACATATGACACACGTCTTAGCAGATCATCCAGGCTAGAATGAAAGTTACTCCACTTCAGCCAAATAATCATCAATTTCAGCTGGCGTTAGCACTCTGCACAAGGAAATGATAACACCAACATAATCAAATTAGCTCAACCACTGAAATCTAGAAGAAAGGAAGACCATGAAGTGCTGCCATATGCAATTGATCCATATTAAGAACTTCCATAACCATAATTGTTGGGTTCTTGTCATCTTGAGGAGTGCATTTCAAATGAGCAATGCTAGAACTTCTCAACAATGAGGTACAGTAATTACATCAAAATTGCATAAAAATTAAAAAGAAACACATGTCAAGAGCTTGCCTGAATTTTTTGTCAGTCCCGATAATCCCAATCTCAATGTTTTTCCCTGAGATTTGCCCTTCAAATCTGCAGAGTTAAGAAAAATAGTTTGTATCATGTCCAGAGAAACAAAGAGATGGAGTATTCCTCACATAACATCTTCTCCAAGCTTTCTCACACACAGATTTTTGTATCTTTGTAAAACATCTGATAGGAAGAGAAAAGAAGTGGAGGACATTAAAAGAAATACCCCTCCTTCAGTGTCAAAATAGCAGTGTGAACGGCATCATCAAGCTCCATATCATCAGTGTATCTGCATTGAAATAGTCAACTTCAGTTATTCAGAGTCTACAAATATGAATCAAACAAAAGTCGAATCCACTCTATAATAAGGTGTCTGTGAGTATACACTCTTATTGTCTAGAAGTCTTAGTATAGTGATAAGATTAGTATAGTGATAAGATGGATATAATAAAACAGGCACACCTAGTTTAGTTGCAGAGGACAAAAAGAAAGGTAAATAGTTTGATTGTAAAACTATAATAATATTTTCATGATAGAATAAGAAGTCAATTTGATAGGGTGATGAAGGCCACTATTTCCATGCCAAACCCCCCAAGTTTGAATTGGAAAATAGCTTGTAAAGAAGACACTCTAAAATCAATAAAAAAAATATAATAATGTTTTTAGTAGGAAGACCTATCACTGGTGAAAGATAAAGTACTAAATGCAACGCAAATACCTTTTCTCAAGAAATGTTTTTGCATTTGATACATTCTTTCCCATTGCCGAGGCTTTCCATGAGAAATATGATCCAGATGGATCAACCTAAAAGGAGAAGAGAATCTTGTTAAACTATACATCTATGCAGAATCAACCATATCATCACAGTCAAGCCATCTGAGATATAATTTTGACTTAAAAGTTAAAAGCATTAGAATCATGCAAACAGCAGAGAATCCCAAGTTAGAATGCAAAATAGCTGTAAAATGGGCTCAGAACTCATATTAGCACTGTATCACATAAAATATTTCTAAGCAATCCAGCAACTGAAAGCAGACGGCTATTTAGCTTCATAAAATAAAATAGCATGTTAGCTGAGGAAGATACCTGATACAACTGTGGGCCACTGTCATCAAATCCAGCAACAAGTAGAGACACTCCAAAAGGCCTTACACCCCTGCAAAAGAAAGGAAATCAGAACATTATTGAATGGTGTTCTAGAGGTATGCTACATTTTCGATATCAGCCTTTTGATATAATCAAGCAACCACATAAGGAAACCAAGGCTTGACTGCAACTTTAGAGCAAGCAAAATCAAAAAGCAAAGAATCTATCATAGACAAGAACAAAATATTCTCAATAATCTTTGCAAGTATGCATGGAAGCCATGCTAGATTCAGTCAAGCACTCAAGGTCATGCAAGTCTGAACATTCAATACAGTAATTTAACCTTCTCAACTATGGCCGCAAATAAGTGCCAAAATGCAAAAAATAACAATGAGCGACACTTCCTTTTAATTTTAATATTTTGTATGTCTAAAGGTATAAGGCAAAATTTTGCTTTGAACAAGAATCAAGCAATTTTCCTTTCCACTATTATCAGTAACAATGGAAAAATCTTTCACAACAATAGCAAATACATATCTACCACAACTTTTCCTTCTCATTTTAATGAATTCAAATACCAAAATATTAGAAAGTGCTTTTAAGAAGCAACATTTTGTCTCCAAATGCAACTTAAAATTTTATTTTATTTTTTTAAGCTCAAAGTAGCATATAATCTCACATTATTAACTTTAAGAGAACAGTTTGACTACAACCTATAAGAATCTACCAAACAATCAAGAGTCCTAAAACTTCCGCACTCACTTCATCGTGATTGCTAGAAAAAGAAGACAAAAAAATGAGAAGAAAAAGGAAGAAGAATACTATTAGTGCTTAGTAATGTTAATTACCCAGACTGAGTGAACTCCTGCATAACAGCTGCAGTTTCCCTTACAAGTTGTGTTACTGGAATTGACTCCTAAAAGCATTGAATTCGCACACGAGTTAAAATGCATTATACATAAAAAAATAAAACTCAGAAACTACTACAAAACCTTTAACTAAAACATCATTTATTTGATGAAAGGTAAAAAGGTAAGATCTGATTAAATGCAGATAAGAACTTCAAGCCAAAACATCACTTGATCTGAAATCAAATTCTCACTTGCATGCATATGATGAAAGTCAAAACCAGTAATAGCCACCATATACCTTATACAATCTGTGATATTGTTCAGCCTGCTTCCTACTTTTCCGAACCAAAACTCGAAAATCAGGACCCATGCCACTGTAGGGTGAGAAATACTGAGAATATTAAAAAGGGAAGAAAGAGAACATATCACAAACCAAGATATCTTATTCCCAGCAAAGCAGAGCCAAAAAAAAAAAAAATTTAGGACCATGATACATATTTTAGAAGCCAAAGTTTCCTTCTTGTTTGTTCAAGTATTAGTGCATCTTAAGTCTATTTTCCAAACTTTCTTTTAGAAAGCTAAAAGCATGGTTCCCTTCATTTCGGACATAGCAATGTTTAGTTCCACAGAAAGGGTGGTTTGCAGAAGTGCCACAAACAAAAATTAGATTGGTGAAAGACAAATAATTTACCCTTTCAAAGCATGCATGTACATTACGAATGCTGATTGCTGATTAATTTTTATTACAACTGGATTACTAATTGTTTTGGAAATCAGACATGAGTAGGGTGAATATCTATGTTTGGCTTGACCTGTTCTCAGCAATAATCTTCTTAGTAGTCCTAGGATAACATGGATAACCAGAGAGAAAAGAAAAAAGCAAAAGAAACTCAATGCCTGAATTTGTACATTAAAAATGATACTTTAGCATGAACAATGAAGCAAAACTTTTTGAAAGCAACAGGAGGTTCCCTCTTAAAGCCATGACAAGCCAAGCAGTTACTGGGGGACCCTCATAGTTCATTCACAACAATAGAAACTGGAGCTTGAAAAGGCCTATCTTACAAAAAAAAGCTTTTTCATAAAGCAGCAGTACTCCAACTAAAAGGATACTAGTTTTATATATCAACCACAACGTCAACACTCACAAATTCAAATACAAATCACAATCAAAAAAAGCCTAGGTAATTTAATTACTGACATACAATTGCAGTACAACTCAGTAGCCAATCAAGATATTTAGAATATATCAAAAGAATTGTGGGTGCACATTAGAAGTGCCTAATGAAGTCATATGTTATGTATTATACCACCTTGTACCAATTAGATGCAATACGCCCACTATTATCAAAAGAAAAAGAACCGAGCACCTAAATATCAAGAAGCATAAAGAAAACTAACCTGTAAACGACTCCAATGTTTGGTGTAAGACATTGAATTTTCTGAACCTGAAACCAAAAGTTCAAGAGTAAACATTGTGGTGATTAATTAACTGTACAACAGGGGGGGAAGTAATCTTCTGAATTTAATCAACTCAATTACTACAAATTTGAATGCTAAAGCAAAATAATAACTCTACAATTAATTTAACAAGAGATGTCATCTCTATAGTCAGATTGAAAGAGATAAATACATTGTCAATTTTCTTTTTCAAGTTTCCTAACTAGGTTCCAGATTTGGTTAGATTCAAACATAGAATCAAAATATCTGATAAATTTGTAAGCATGGCATCATTCCCATTTCCCAATCTTCCAAAATAAAAAAATAAAAAATTTGTACAATTTACACTAAGATCATTGCAAGTCAACATCAGTTAGCACATAACTTGCAAGGGTGCACTGTTAACACTAAGAGATACAATAATACATCAGTAAAATTTGGAAGGAAAAAGCACAGTAATGCAGACAAGTTGCATTCAAAAAATATAATCCATTCATCAACTAAAATGCACCAGCAAGTCTAGACTAAAGAAGGCACTCACAGATGTTTCGTCAACCAAGATAGAAGGCAGCTTCTTTTCAGTAGCAATCACCACGCCATTAGCAGCTGCAGTATTTCAGACAAACCCGTCAGCAATACAATCCCAGATATGCATAAACAGACACATTAGCTAGAAACCAATCAACCACGAACTAAATTCTCTCCCTAAACTGATCCCATTTTTGAATTTAACACGTTATTGAGAAACCTTTTCATATAAATTCTCAAAAATTAAAAGGAACCCACTTTCCAAGAAAAAGAAAAATCACAGCACCTTTGATTCCGAGAGATGTTTGTCCTGACCCGACAGCCGTCAAAGCATGCTCGATCTGGACTAGCTTGCCCGAAGGACTGTTTCCACAGCAGAAACAAGTATTAGTAACCAGATTAGAAGATTAATTATTCGAATAACTGAGCAAAGGAATTCGCATACCTGAAAGTAGTGAGGGAAAATGAGTACTGACTATCACCCATGATTTTGTATTACAGGGAAAAGAAAACCCTGAAACAGAGGAGAACAACACGATCAGCTAAACGAAAAAGACCAGAATTCTGGTATCGCCGGCGGAAGAGAGATGTAAAGGTGATTACTTTGACGGAAGTTTCTGCACGATTTAGAACGGAGCACCGAGCAGAAGAAAAAAGGAGGTGTGGTCTTTTCTTGTTGGAGAAGAAGGTCTGTAACGGGCTTGGCTTATACGGCCTCGTTGACTTTTGGGATGGATTTGGTCGGGAGCTCGTCCTAAGTATGTAATTGGATTTGGGCCAACTTCATAAAGGGTCCAAAAGGATTCGAAATCCCAAGTGGCGAGTGGAAAAGGCCGAAAGGGATAACTGGTACTGATCAAGGGTTAAATATCAGCCTTCATCCCTGTAAAATATTTTAAATGCATATAATGGTCCTCTATCATAGGGCTGCTTCGAAATGGTCCTTAGTCCCCATCCAACGAGATGGTCCCCACTCATTTCTTTGTTTCTTTCTTTTTTTTGCTTCTTTTTGGAATTGGTCGAACGTCTTGATTCAATTTTCTTTTGGAAAGATTATAAAATACTCAAAGTCTCAAAGGTAATTGGTATATGCCGTTAGAATTATTTTTTATTGAAATGAAGAAGAAAGGAATTTGTTCCATATAATTGATAATTCACATAGGCTAATTAAGGTTTGTTTGGTTGATTGTAATGAT